ACATTACTCAGAGTGAAATTGTTTCAGTCTTTGATTTCAATTTGGTAAAAATAACCAGAACTAAAAAGTTTTTCTCTCAAAATTAATATTTCATAATAAAAGTTGCAATCGCTTTCTCATTTTGCTAGAAAATTCAATTTTCCGTTGAGCAACGAATCTGACATTTGCTTTCTGAACTGTAGCAGATTATTCTGAAGTTTAATTTCTTCCTTTATTTTATCTTTGCTATATTTTTCATTACTTTGCAGCAATGCTTCTGCTGAGTTAGCATACTCTGTAAAACTTGCAAAGAATTGTTATGCGTAGTCTTGCAAAAAAAAGCATCTTGAGAATGAAATTCATTCTTTACGCCTTTTGCTTTTGTACCCAAGTATTTTCATGTTAAGCTTGCAAACATGAATTGAAGTTATTCTCAATGAGAATTATATACATTTATAATTTAAACAATTTATAAATGCATTCAGCGTAGAATTGCAAGGATCAAAGTTCTCAGTAAATTTAGTGAATCATTTAAAGAGAAATATTGAGAGAAATAGTTTTGAAATTCTAATGATGTATGTATGACTTTTTCATTCTGGTTGTTAAATTGACTAAAATAATATGCTTTTGTATCTTTTATATTGATCCTTGCAAGTTTATTGTTAATTCCTTGAAGTCGTAATATAAACCGCAGTGTTTGTTAATTTTAAAAATAATGTGTTTTTTTTCCATGATTAATTTTTTGTTGATTTTTATTTTCTTTGATTTTTTATTTTGCAAACAGCTTACATGGTGATACATAAATATACACAATACTTATCAACACAAAATTGCAGTCACTGTAGCATTTTGTTTTGCAGGATTTAAAGTCTTGCTGATAACAAAGAAAAATATGCTTCATAATTCCAGACATTCACATTTACCTAACAAATAAAACACAACTTGTATAATGCTTGTATAATACTTGTTTCTATAACCAGGATTTTTTGTGGTTTATATTACGACTTTAAAAGTTGAATTTGAATTAAGTTCAAATAACTTTTGAATCTAAGCTCAATGAATATGTTTTTAGTTTTTACAGAATAGACAAGGAATTTTTTTGCACTGCATGTTTAAATGTTGCATTTAATTTGCAATGATATTGATATATGTTTCCCAATTTTGCGTTAAAGCTTCAGTATTCAGTCAATGTATTTTATAAACACATAGATTTGGTGGTGGGTCAGGACTTATTGTGTTATTCATCGACACTGAGTTTATTGTTTTATTTGCAGCACAAACTTCGAGTCATTTCCTGTTTTATGGTAAAGGTCAGCCAGGCACCATAAAAGGGATTTCCTTCACTCCAGATGATAATTCAGAATTGATGATCCCAGTTGAAAATCTCGGAAATCCTCGTGGAATTGACTTTTATGCTGAGGAGCAATATATATATTATTCAGATAGTACAAGGTTTACGATTGGTCGACAAAAAAAAGATTCTCTAGAGAGAGACGTTATTATTGAGACAGGTGAGAAACTTGTGAGAAATAATTTTACTAATGATAACATGTCATAGCTTGTAAAATAATTCTGTATGTGTTCCTTAATATTGATAACTAAAGATGTTTGTTATTGGCAAGTGCATAACAATAACTATTGTTCTACCTATTGTTTCAATAATTTGCATATTAATTAGCAGGTGGCCAGGCTTTCGATTTCGAAGGGGACCAAGCAGAGCAGGACATGGGGTTGTACATTGACATTGTAACAACAACTCCCCCCCCCCCCCCCCCCGCACTCTGCCTGCCAGGGGTAGTCTGTTGTACTATGTGATAAGGGATTCAAGTCCTCCCTCTACTTCTCCGAGGACTCGCAGACGCAGTCAGAGGTGACCTGCCCAGCCATCACGGCGGGTGCAACCTCGGGCGGCCCCTCTGACTCTGTTAATCGTAATGACACCCTGAGACACGTTGAGGGGTTATGGGGGAACATCGATCCTAGTGACCCAATGTTCACCCCCCCTGATCCTGAAGCAGTTATCCTCGACAGGGCTGTCACTTCCAGGCGAGAGATCCAAAGCGGTACCCACTGCATAACTCTCCTGGTCTAGCCGAGTGCTGGACGTAGGGGGAAAACACACAGACAGTGTTGATGTGGGCGGTGTTTGAGACCAGAGCCAGCAGAGTCTGGAGTAAAATCTTGCACCCGACCGAATCCTTTGGTTCCTCCACTGAAACGCATTCTTTTGTGTCGCCAACACTCTGAAGTCCCAAAGAGAGATACAATGTAGTAATATAGTAATAAATACAGTATTCCAAATTTGTATTTCATGTCTCCAATACTTTCAGCACATGGGTTTTTTTTCTAAGCTTTCTTTGATTTTATCTTTATTTCAATTGCAATGCGTAATAATGACTATTGTTCTTTGTCCCATAGCAATTAATAACTGTGAGGGTATTGCAGTCGACTGGATGGGTAAGAATATTTATTGGACAGACGATGGATTAAAGAGTATAAGTGTTGCTAAATTAGATGGCTCTAATAGAAAGACCCTCATCACTGGAGATATTGGACACCCCCGTGCCATTGTGGTTGATCCCGCTGATGGGTGAGACTTGTTTCATTATTGACTTACCCGGTAATACTGAACTCCAGCATCGTAAACTAAGCCGTAGAACGTTGTGTAATTAATTGAGCTATGTTCACACCCAACTGGCTTTTCAGTGATTTTATTATGAATCTCAAAGAAGGTTACCAACTGAACTAAAATCTGTTTAAGGGCACTACAGTACTCTACATGTACACCTGCTGCTATTTCTTTGTTTGATTACTCATTAATTTGTCTGAATCAAATCAAATCAAATCAAATCAAAGTTATTGATTGCAGTCATTTGGTATTTTTTTCATGTTTTGATGAAGGCATGTTCTGAAATGTGATAAGATGTCTTAATTTTCAGCTATTTATACTGGGCCAATTGGGCAGAAAATGTGGATGACGAGTATCCCGCAAAGATTGAGCGTGCTCAAATGGATGGTGGTGATCGGCTCACATTTGTAAGCTCTGCCACAAATATATTGTGGCCGAATGGTCTTTCAATTGATAAGCGGGGCATGAGATTGTACTGGTGTGATGCTTTCTTTGATTCCATAGAATCCATTGGATTGAACCGTACCGACAGAAGAACGGTAAGAATAATTATATTGATTGTATTTGCATATATTAATAGAAATTAAAAAACTTATGAATATTGATTTCTATATTTAAATGTAATTGTTTGCGTTATTCATTTCACTTACAGTGAATTCACAGAAATATTTGAAAGTTGAGGCATTCTCACTCATTCAGTTTTTTAGAGATATGTTAAAAACAGTTGTGGATTTACAGACAAGCTAGTAAATTCAAACAATTGTAAAATTTGTGTGTAGTGCTTGGTACTATAGCTGTGACCTTGACCTTGACCTTGACCGTGAGCAGTGTTTAGAACTATGTTGAAAAAACAACGAAGGAAAGAAAGAACAGTACCAGAACTGTAAAATATTCCTATACAAAATTCTCACAGCAGTGCCAACTGAGAATTGTTTGATTTTTTGGTTTTCAATTGTTCAAAAAGAATAGATGTGGCTTCTAATACAGATTTTATGGTTAATGACTAATAATGACACCCAAAAATGGTAAAAATTCAAACACAACCATATCTACATAACTGCGAGGTGATGGTCGACTTTTGCAAAGAAATTCTGACATGGATATTTTGTGACTGTAATTGTAACACACATTTGTACCAGGGTAATTAGTTAGTTTTATTCCCGTTCAGACCTCGTCCGAAAATGAGGATTTGTGGAATAACCTCTTTGCATCCGTCCATCCATGCATGCGTGCGTGCATCCAGATCTATATCTTAGACACGCCTGGAACAATTACAATCAAACTTAACACATACATCATACATCATGTTCATTGTGATTCCCTAGGATCCCAGTAAAATGTTCGTTGTGATTTTCTAGGATCCCAGAAAAACGTTCATTGTGACTCCCTAGGATCCCAGTAAAATGTTCTTTGTGACTACCTAGGATCCCAGTAAAATGTTCATTGTGACTTCCTAGGATCCCAATAAAATGCTCATTGTGGATTTTTAGGATTCCACTGCTACAGGAATTCAATATGTTTCGAAATTTTGTTTCGAAAAAGATTTTAGAAAATTGCTTTCTCTTCCTAAAGTGGTTAAAATTATTCTGGGTTTTCAGATTGTTACAAAGCAGAGTATTGGTGGAGTAGGAGTATTAGACCATCCATTTGGTCTGGTTTTTTCAGATGGTAATCTTTACTGGACTGAGTACAGGGTAGGAAAAATTTACCGTTATAACTTGAGAAATCGGGATTTGACGCTAATGAGGACTGATAATGCTCCTCTGTTTGAGATCCGAGTGTATGACCAAGCACTCCAGGAAGGTAAGTAGAAACCATAAAATCAGCACTTTTTGTTTTTGTGATAGGCATTCGCGACATTGAATTGCATAATTGCCAAAAATTTGAACAATGTGATAAATTTTGAAATACACCTGGGTAATTTTACAGGAACCAATGAATGCTCTGCAAACAACGGTGGATGTGAAGCGTTATGTTTAGCTGTACCGCTAGGTAAAACTTGTGGATGTCCAGATGGTCAAGTATTAACTCAAGATCAGAGAACATGCTCAGGTGAGTTCAACTTGTACGGCAAGATCCAATATGGATGCAAAATATAATAATATCCATGCGGTTATTCTGAGATTACAAATAACTGTTATAAACCTGTCACCGTAATACCATAAGTTACAGCATGCCGTAATTTTGCAGCATTGCATTGAGTATTTGCATCCTACCATATTAGGAAATGCGAATTTCAAATATGGAATGATTATATGCCTAAGCGTCCTCTAATAATAAAAACAAACATGGACTCCACACAAAGAAAGTTCACTGATTCTGTTTTAAACATTTTGGATTTCGACCTTCCCATGATGTATTCCAGGGAGGAAAAGATGTATAATAATAAGGCAATTATGAGAATACTGCAAAGCATACATTGCAGTATCCTCGTAATAACCTCGTATTATGCTACAAATCTGGACCGTTCCCCATGCTACATGGTTTGTAATTCAATACGGTTGTCAGTTTTTGTGCACACAAATGAATTCTTCCTTCAGATCACTAGAAATCTGACATTCAGATTTTCAAGCTCCTCTGATTCTATGTTTATGTTGCTTTCTCAGATGATCCGGATGACGCAGGAAGTCCAACATGTGACGCTAATGAGTTTGAATGCAACAATGGACGCTGTATATTGATGGATTGGAAGTGTGATGGTGACAATGACTGCACTGATAATTCAGATGAGGAACCAGAAATGTGTGGTTAGTGTATGCCGTTGTACTTGTTTACATACTGTGCTAATGTGCGTACATAGTGACTGTCTGGCAAGAACCAATCGTTTGCACTCGAAAATAAAATAATTGTGTTGATAATGACTTATAGACAATGACAAATTCACATGCTGGTTGACAAAATTGTAAACATGTCACAGTACGACAGCGTATTTATGTATGATAACATTATATCACTGAATTTCAGGCTCTGTAATAGACCATTTTCCATTCCTTGCAACATCCTGCATCAAATGTCAGTGTTGTAATGACATCAAATCATACCATGAGATACGACAAACACACAAGTATTTTTAGGGGCCCAAACCCTTAGGGCGTGGCCCCTATTCTTATTGTCCGTTTTTTTCTTTCTTCTTCTTTCTTTCTTCCGTAACTTTTTTCGTCAAGCCGTTTGAGAAAACCGCTGAACAGAATGGTCTGACAATTCTCTATAATGATAGCCCCTTACGTGAACTGGTGCAACATGCTTTCAGAATTTTGATTGGTCAATTAGTTTGGCAGCCATATTGGATTGAAATAAAACCGGAAGTGGCTGTTTGACCACTTTCTGAGGGTCTAGGCGTCTAGATTTTTTATGGTATATAGTACTACTCTTGTGTAATAGATATCAGCAATAAAAACTTTAGTGGTCACGTGACTTTTCCCGCCATTTTGTTTTTCCTAAAAACGGCAAAAAACACTTAAAAATCTTCTTCTCCAGAACCACCAAGTAAAATGCTCTCATATTTAGTACTTAGCTTCTATATATGAAGCACATTTCTGTTTGAACAAATTTTTATGATTGGTCACGTGGTTTAGCCGCCATTTTGGGTTTCTTCTCAACAGGAAGTAGTTTTTTACTCATGCCGCACTTGAGGGATTTTTTTCAATTTTGCTGCATGGCATATCTATATCGAACTCTTACAGAAACCTAAAAAAGATTTCAGATCAGTCGCGTGGTTTGGCCGCCATTTTGGATTTTAGGCAAAATTGACCAAAAGTTTGGGCATTTGTTTCTCAGAGGTGATTCAACCAATTAACTGCTGATTTTGAATATAACATGCCTGAACATTGCTACATATGAGAAAAATAATATATTTTCGATCAGTCACATGGTTTGGTTGCCATCTTGGATTTTATGCAAAAATGATCAAAAGTTTGGGCATTTGTTTCTCAAAGATTCTTCAACCGATCTACTGGATGTTTTTATATATAACGTGCCTGGCCATAGCTTCATATGAGAAAAATAATATAAATTTGGTGTGTCACATAGTTTGGCCGCCATCTTGGATTTTGTGAAAACGGAACTTGTGCAATTACATGTGTTGTATTGGTCCAATTTGGCTAAAATTGTGTATGTCAATTCTCCTCCAGAGTCGCAACCTTTCCCATGAATGTCAATGGCTTGGTCGTGTGGCTACACGCCAATGGGGGGGGGGGGGGG